TCATTTTTAGTAAATTTTCTGTTTGTTCTTAAAGATTTTTTGCGAAATAATTGCGTTTCTGGCCGAAAAACGTGTTGAAACGCTCAAGAAAGAGAAAAATATTATAATATTTTGGAATCAATTTGGTAATTTTTTAATTTGTTTTAGTCTAATTTTGCAAAAAATTGACGCTTTTGTATAAAAACATGCTTGAGAAAGTTATAAAAACACTATTTTTGACCAATTTTTAGTTTTTTGTTAATTAATTTTTGCTAAAAAATCAGTTACATCGAGTGAAACAGACAAAGTACCATCAATTTAGATTCGTTTTTGTGATTTTTATCAACATTTTTAGAAAAATTAAAAAAAAAATAGTTTTCATTTCGTGCAAAAAGCAAATATAACACAAAAATCTAAATCGAATGAAACAAACGAAATAACATCAATTTAGATTTATTTTTGTTGTGTTTAAGCATATTTTAACAATATCCTGCAAAATAAATTAATCTCTGGTTAAAAAACGAACTAAATCGAAAGAAACACACTAAAATGATATCAATTTCAATCTAATTTGGTAATTTTTCAGTCAGTTTTAGCAAAAATTTGAATGTATTTTAAAAACGTGATGAAGCACTGTAAAAATGCAAAAATAAAACTAATTTTGGCCTAATTAAATAAATTTTCGGTTTGTTTTTAACGAAATTTTGCAAAATAGTTCTGTTTCTGGTTAAAAACATACTAAAACCTTCAGAAATGGATCAAATAATGTACTTTTTGATCAATTTTAGCGATTTTTTACCTTGCTCAAAATAGTACAAAAAAAAGTGCCATCATTTTTGACTGAATTTACTAAATCAATAATTACAAAAGTTAATTTTACTAAGATTTGGGCGAAAACTCGATTTAAAAAAATGTTTCAAAATACATTAATTGTCTGCTGGAACTGTTTCTAAAAAATCATCAGAAATTAGAATTTTTACAAGACCTGGCAACACTGATTAACGTAAGCTTGACCAACACCGTTATTATTTATTTAAAATAATAATGTCAAAGAGGAAGTGGCAATGTCCGATTGATTTGTAGCTCCTTGCTTATCGAGTCGGTATTTCCGTGGTGGCCTTTCAAATCGCTGGTGTGGTGCACAATTTGCTCCAACGGATGGGATTGGTAATCCAATTATCCGTTTTAACTCACTTGAGCCTTGAGACATCACCGTATTGTCGATATTTACAAATCTTATCACCCAGTGATAAGTGCACAACGCTCAGTAACACAACATGAATCACAAGAGAAAAATTATAATGTGAATCACACAGCAATGGAAGACGTGGAAGTGAAAAGTCCGAGTGTTAAAAGTGCTGTGAACTTCTTCAATAGTTTGAGTAAAAGCTCCAAAGTGGTGTGCTATCATCAAGAAATCAAAGTGTCGCCTCTTATTCCACGACCTAAACTTATCAAACGCAATGATCTGACTCCGGATGTCGAGGCTAAGAATATTATTGAGGAGTTTAACAAGAAAATCTCGCCTTATGACACGTTTAAATTACCAGGGGATGCGCTCCAGAGTGATTTTTTTAAACAGAATTTTGAGTATTTACTCCCGGATGTGGTCTCGCCGGAGAAGAGGAGGAGGATCTATCGGAAGCCGGCCAAGAGGTGTGTAAAAATCGATGGAAAGTGATTAGAAATTGATTGTGAACATCTGGAGTTTATTGAGGGTTTTTATGCCTCATTACGGCGTTTCTTTAATTGCGTCCTTTTCGATAGTTTCATAAAAAATTGAATTTCTCACATGTGAATCATTTCGAAATTATCGAAAAAGAAATTATTAAAAATTTGAAAAATGATTTTAATGGGTTTTTCGCTATTGTTTGATATAAATTTAAGTACTTATTCTCTTTTTGATAATAATAATAATTTAATTATGGTATGAAATAGGAAATAATTNTTTTTACCTTGTTGAGTGAAATGTCATTTAGAAAAACAAAACTATTTCTCGATTTTTCAACTTGTTTTTGAGAAAATCTAGCATTTGAGTTTCTTCATGGCTAAAAAAATATTTCAAAATACATTAATTTTCTGCTGGAACTACAACTACGTTTCTAAAAAATTTTTACAAAAGTTCTCACCAAATTATTAAACTAAAAATCACCAGATCTGGTGAAATTTCACAACACCTGGCAACACTGGTGTAAAGTACGCGATACGCATGCGCACTGGCTTCATTTTTAGAAATATCGCAGCAAGCGCTGAAGGAAAAGCTTGGCTTTCCGAAGCTTGGCAATTGTGTTCCCCTATTGAAACACCAGGAGATGTGGAAACGCTAATTGGGTGGTATTCTGAGATTTTGGTCAACATGGCCATGGTTAATTACCCCTACTCGACGTCATTTTTGGCCCCTTTACCCCCATTTCCGGTCAAAAACTTCTGCACCCAATTCACAGAAGCGAATATCGTCGATGATAAATCACTAATTATGGCCCTTGGAGACGCGTTACAAATCTACACGAATTTTAGCGAAACCACGACTTGTAATAAAATTAACCAAGCTGCTGAAGCCCTCGGCGAGGAGGGTTGGGGGTTTCAAGCTTGCACCGAAATGATCATGCCGATGTGCTCCATCGATGGTGATATGTTCGAGAACAATCCCTGGGATTATGGGAAATATGCAAGTCAGTGTTTGGAAAAATGGGGAGTGAATCAAACACATCCCGAGTTGCCTGTCTTGGAGTATGGGGGGAAGGACATCAAAGCGGCTAGTAATATCGTTTTCAGTAATGGTTTACTTGACCCATGGTCCACTGGAGGTGTTTTGAGTAATGTTTCCGAAAGTGTTGTCGCAGTGATCATCCCAGATGGGGCGCATCATATTGATTTGCGAGGGGGGAACGAGGATGATCCTCAAACGGTGATTGAAGCGAGGCAGTTTCATGTCGAGAATATTAAAAAATGGATCAGGGAGTTTTATTTTCAAAATGATGGCTTTCTTGGACAAGATTGAGTACCAACATGTCAAAAATGTTAATTAACTGATTTGTGAAATAAGGATAAATAAAAATGCCAAGTTTATTTAGTGTATTTTTTCTTTAATTCAAAAAACAAAAACGGAAATAAATAAAATAAGTAGGTTTTTGCAGTGAGTTTTTTTATGTATTGTTTATCGTTCTAGCTTTCTTAGGAGGCATTTCCGGACATAAGTTCATAGGAACTTTTTTTCTAATTTTGACTTGGGCAATCACCCCTGAAGTCTTTCAGCGTTTTTTTTTCGAACACTCTGTATATAAAAATTTCAATTATTTTGCATATTTTACGATTTTACGATTTGGACATAAGTTTATAGGAACTTTTTTTCTTATTTTGAGTTAAGGAATAACCCCCTAAAACCTTTCAGAGTTTTTTTTTCGGACATCTGTATATAAAAATTTTAAATAATAATAATAATAATAATAAAAATAATAATAATAATTTACGAACGATTTTGAAAAAAGTGTTTTGTTTTTGCGTTTATCATTCGAATTATGTACCTATTTTTCTTCACCAGTTGTAACAATTGTAACAATATTGAACAATTTATTTTTGGAATTTTGATTTACAAATTGTATTAGAAGTGTTTTATAAACTTTAAATTCACACAAATTTTTACCAGATTATTTACGTAAACTGTAAACAATATATTTTTGAACAATTTAGTGATTTTTGAGTTTTCAGCTTAAAAATCTGCTTAAACGCTCGAAAAAAACAAAAATGTCATTATTTTTGGCCAAATTCAGTAGTATATAAAATGTTACTTTTGGACCAGGATATTTAGCGTCTTAAAAAACAGGGTAGAATCCTACAAATTTAGTGTTTTCCCAAAAGTAAACGATCCAAAAAACGATAGAATATTTTCTAAAATAAAAATTTTATGTTGTAAAATAAAATTTCAAAACGAATTCTAAAATTCAAAAAATTTTGTAGGGCCTTATGTTTAGCCGCAGACAGGAGTTACAGAGCTCTGCAATGCTTTAATCGATCTTCGGTCCTCTGGTTTCACTAGATTGTATGATCGCTAGATGGCAGGCTTGTATTAATTAATATAAGGTCACTAAATTACAAAGTAACGCGAAAAGCACCCATTTTGGAATGCTTAAAAATAACGGATTTTGAAGGCTTTTTTGGGTGCTTTTGATGTAATTATTTTTGATTTTGGATGATTTTCAACAGTTTTCCCAGGTGCTCGTTTTTTGGTGGTCTATTGATTTTCGAGTTTCTTTGGGCGCATAAAAAATTATGATTTTTGAAGGATTCACGTCTTTTTCGGTTGTTTACTTTAGGGAAAACATATAATTTTTTTGGATTCTGCCTTGTTTTGTACACCTCTTTGATTTGGTGTTGTTTTTCTTTTTTTTTTTGTACACACCAATTGGTCTAGTCCAGAAATAAAAAGCCATTTTGGGGTGTTTAAAAACAAGGTATTTGTTAGTTTTTGAGGGCGTTCTTGAAGTACTTTTGCATTTTTTTGGGAGATTTCAACAGTTTTTTCGTGTGTCTAATTTTTGGTGGTCTACAGATATTTGGTGCTTTAGGGGTGCATAAAACTTAATGCTTTCTGAAGGGTTTTAGGTCTTTTTAGGATGTTTACTTTTGGGAGAACAGCTAAATTTTTAGGGTTCTGCTTTGTTTTTTGAAAACGCCAAATGGTCCAAAAATAAAAAAGTCATTTTGGGGTGCTTAAAAACAAGGCATTTTGTATTTTTTTAGATCTTTTTCGAATGTTGGGAAAACACTAAATTTGTAGGATTCTACCCTGTTTTTCGTGTGCCCAATTTTTGGTGGTCTACACATATTTGGGTACTTTTGGGGTAAATAAAAATTAATGCTTTTTGAAGGGTTTTCGGCCTTTTTCGAACAGATAAATTTGTAAGTTCCACCCTGTTTTTTAAGACGCCAAATATCCTGGTCCAGAAATGATATTTTATATACTACTAAATTCTTTGGCTTTTTGGCTTGTTGTTAACAAAATTTTGCGAAATGATTGCGTTTTTAGCTGAAAAACGCTGGAGAAATGCAATTTTTTACTTAATTTGTTTCAGCGAAACCTGAAATTCTAGTACCGACTAAATTTTCAGATTTTTCTGTTAATTTTTCTCTGAATTTTGCACAAAAATCAGTTAAATCATGTGAAAAAGTCAGAAATAAATTGTCATTTTTGTGCCTGTAGTAAAATTTAGTAAAAAAACAAACTATTTTTTACCAATTTGATAGATTTTCGATTTTTTTTTAAATTTGGCAAAAAAATCAGTTTTTTAGGTGTGTTTTATAAAGAAGTTTGGAATGATTGAAATTTTATTGTGTTGACCATTTTTCCAGCTCTCTGTGAAAGTGTCAATGTTTATTAGCAACTTACTTTTGCCTTTCAAAGCTTCTCCTTCCTATCTGAAAAGCAATTGAGATTCTTGTAAAGTCGGAATAGTTTATATTTTATGAGAAATGAAGCTTTTAGACGAAAAAATCTGGAATACGACTAAAATTAGCAATATTTCGTTTCCAGTGCTTGACTTTGAGAAATTACAGTTCAGATTTTTGATAACAGCAATGTAAAATATGATATTTTGTTTCTTTACGAGAAAATATCGATCCGAGTGAAAAATGAGACTTCCATTAAATTCACTCGCTTCCGGAAACCGGAAATTCTCTAGCATTCGCCGGAAAAAATCTAATAATGATAAATAAATTCGACCAGACGTAATTCAATACATTTATTTCCACAATATTTTATCGTGATTCTCCTCTCAATTTTTGTGATTTAACTGTTGATTTCATTAGTGGACAATGGGGGCGCCCCTATTCTGAACTAACCCTTTCAAAGTCATTGTTTATCTAGGTCCGGCGTCGCGACGGCTGGTAACTCAGCCACTCTAAAAAAGCCCTCCCAACTTTTTGGCTTTATTTCAAAAACGTGCTTAAACGCTCGAAAAATCTCTTTTATTTAGTCTAATTCTATATTTTTTGGCTAGTTTTTGATTAAATTTTGGGAAATACCGGGTGACAAAAAGAAATTAAATTTTAATTTTGACACCAAATCATTTACAGTCACCGGATATTTTACTTAAAAAAAATTCTGAAATACTTGATAAAGTCAAAAAATAATGCCTTAATGTAATGTTTTTTGCTTTGTTTTAGCAAAATCTTGCAATCAACACTATTTTCGACCATATTTTGTATCTTTCGTTTTACTTTTTTGATAAAATTTTACTCAAAAAGAGCTAAATCGAATGAAACAAACGAAATAACATCAATTTAGATTTATTTTTGTTGTGTTTAAGCATGTTTGGACAATATCCTGGTTTAAAAACGAACTAAATCGAGCGAATCAACCTAAAATAATGTCCATAACGATCTACTTTGGTAATTTTTCAGACAATTTTAGAAAAATTTGTTGTTAAAATTTGTTTTTATCTTAAAAACGCTTTTAGTCACTTGAAAAATACAAAAATAATACTATTTTTAACCTAATTTGAAAAAATTTTTGCTGAAAAATGTGCTAAAACACTCGAAAAAGGCAAAAATTATTTGATTTTATATTTAATGTGGTAATTTTTTGGTTTGTTTTAGAAAAATCTTACAAAAAACCTAAGATTTTAGTTGGAAACGCGTTTACAAGTTTAAAAAAAGTAGTTTCCGATCAAATTTTCCGATTTTTCTGKTTATTTTTGATTACTTTTTACTGAGAAACTAGTTAAATTAAGTAAAACAAGGAAAATACCATGAATTTTGATTTGTTTTTCTGATTTTTAGGCGTGTTTTGACAATTTCTTCCAAAATAAATTGTTACTTTTAGAGCCAATTATAGAAAATTTTTCAGAAAAATTGTTTTCATTTCATTTTTAGGAAATTTTTTGTTTGTTCTTGCGAAATAATTGCCTTTTTGGCTGAAAAACGTGTTGAATCGCTCAAGAAAGAAAAAAATAATATAATTTTGGAATTAAGTTGGTAATTTTTTGATTTGTTTTTATAATAAGATTGGAAAAAATAAGGCTTTAGTATAAAAACATGCTTGAGAAAGTTATAAATAACACTATTTTTGACCAATTTTTAGTTTTTTTTTTTTGATTAATTTTTGCTCAAAAATCAGTTACATCGAGTGAAACAGACAAACTATAATCAATTTAGATTGGTTTTTGTGATTTTTAGGCGCGTTTTGACAAGACCTTGCAAGTTTTTGGTTCAAAAACGAACTAAATCGAGTGAAACAAGTTAAAATAATATCAATTTTTATCAATATTTCTAGGAAAATTAAAAAAAAAAGTTTCAAAAATGTGCAAAAAGCAAAAATAACACAAAAAGAGCTAAACCGAATGAAACAAACAAAATAACAACAATTTAATTTAATTTTTGTTGTGTTTAATCATGTTTTGACAATATCCTGCAAAATAAATGATATCAATGATATCAATTTCAATCTAATTTGGTAATTTTTCAGTGAGTTTTAGGAAAAATTTGAATGTATTTTAAAAACGTGCTGAAACAATCTAAAAATGCAAAAATAACACTAGTTGCCTAATTTGATAAATTTTCAGTTTGTTTTTAACGAAATTTTGCAAAATAGTTCTGTTTCTGCCTAAAACGCTAAGAATTAGATAAAATAATGTACTTTTTGACCCATTTTAGCGATTTTTTTACCTTGTTGAGTGAAAAATTTAGAAAAACAAAACTATCTCTCGATTTTTCAACTTGTTTTTGAGAATATTTAGTATTTGGGTTTCTGCATGGCTAAAAAAACGTGTAAAATGCTCAAAAAATACGAAAAAACAGTGTCATCATTTTTGATTTAATTTACCACATCAATAATTAAAAAAGTTAATTTTCCTAAGATTCGGGCGAATACTCGATTTAAAAAAAATATTTCAAAATATTCTGCTGGAACTATAGTCACGTCTCTAAGAAATCATCAGAAATTAGAATTTTTTCAAAAGTTTTCACCAAATCATTAAACTAGTTTAAAAAACACCAAATCAGGGGGGCGCCCTGAACTAACCCTTTGACAAGTCTGGCGCCGCGACGGCTGCTAACTCAGCCAGACACCAAGTCTCCACTCTCAAAAATCCGTTCTTTTCCATTAACCTCCAGTAGCCACTCGATCCGAATTAAAACTTCCAGTTGCTGCAGCTCGATCTCGTCGAGTGTTGCGTATTGAGTCACTTTAGTTTGTCTCCTGCTGTCTTGCAGGAATCGTCGAGAGTTTTGCTCGCGTTTTTGGCGTTTTCAACCACGTGTTTGTGATTTTTACAGTTAGGAAGGAAGGAGTCTGCAGTTTTTACTTTTTTGTGACTCGAGAATTCCATCACGGTTGCTTTATTTACTCTCGTGTCTAATCAGGTTCGCTAATGAGGCGAAATTTCTGCAAATCATACCGAGTGTTCGATAAAAAGGGTGTGGTGTAGTGATTAAAATGCCGAAATGGTGCTGCACAACGCCTCGATTACTATCAATCCGCGGAAACAAAGATTGCAAGAGGAGTCTCCTCAAGTGCCGGCAAGAGGACGATTTGTTGCCAGGTTTGTTGGATTTTTTTTGGATGTAGGTGGGCTATTATGTCACTGTTTGGCCATGAACGTGGTTTTTAACACCTCGGAGGTTTCACAATTTTGTCACATAAACCTACATATCAATTAGCGAGACATCTGGCTCCAAAATAAACTTGAGAAATGTCAATTGGGTCTTTTATCACTCATGCAACTCTTTCTTACGTTTCAGTTTCAGGATTTTATGCAGTTAAAGTATATATAATGTCTTAATTGTTTATTCATTCATTAGGAAGTTGTTTGAACGTAAATTGATTGTGTGTGGAAACAAATAAATTATTTTGAGTTATTTTTCGCGGTCATTTAAACTTATACACTTGGGGCTTTTTTTGGTCAGAATCTTGGGTTAATGTCAAGGTTGGAATTGTAAAATTGACCATCTGGGTGATTAAGTTTCTTCTTTATTTCCGTTTTGGTGATGTCTAACTCAATATGCAAATTTTAGACGGTATCCAAGTTTAATATTATGCAATCTTCGAGTGGCGAGTCTTCAGGAAATTCCTGTTTTCGGAGATGTTCTCGTTTTATTTACTTTTTCAAAATTTGAAGGTATTACATCTAGGCCCAAGTTTTTTCGAAATTAAAAATGTTATTTTGGCTTCTACTGGAAGAAAAAAAATAAATGTGACATATTCTTAAAAAGAGATTTTTGGGCTCAAATTCGGTCAAAATTTTGTTTTGATAGGCTTGGTAGACCTCAAATTGAACAGTGATCCGCAAAGTTGCCAGCACAAAAAACCAAAATTATCAATCTTTGTTGAAAATGTTACTAAATTAACACACATCTTTACCAGATTTTGTCTCCCCTAAAACTGTTTTTTATCTTTAGTGTCTTTCCCTTTGTTTTTTTCCACATTTCTTCGTCTAAATAAATTTCCTTTTTTCTGTTTTATTGTATTATTTTAATTACTTTTTAGTTTTTTTTATATTTAGACATTTAAAAATATTTTGCAAAATTGATGTTGAAATAAAAACAATTCTAGTAAGAAATATATTTTTTATTACCAAGATAGACAGAACTAAGGGATAGAACTCACGTATTCTCAAAACAGGAAATTTTCTTTGTCTTTAGTGTTAGAAAAAATTATATGTGAAACACAAAAAAATGTTTTTCTTCTTTTGAATGGTATCAGTACAGCACAAGCATTCTCGGAAAGAAACTTTCTTTTTTTATTACACAAATAACTATTTTTTTGTAAAATGTTTTGAGAGCAAAATTTTCTTCATCTCCTCCTGCATGTGTTTTCTTACTTTTTTTTTAAATTTACACCACAAGAATAATTCTCTTTAGAAAAATTAAAATTCAATTAATCGGAGTCATTGTTGAGCAATATCTAAAAAATATCTAAAATTGAAATTGAACAGTGATCCGTAGAGTTGCCAGCACAAAAAAACGAAATTTACCAAATCTATGTTGAAAAAGTTGCTAAATTCAAACAAATTTTTACCAGTTTACAAGATTACGATTTAAGTCTTTTAAATAGTTTCCATTTTCTACGTAAACACTGTAAACTATATTTTTTTTAATAACAATTTAGTTATTTTTGAATTGGTTTTAACATGAAAAACGAATTTTTCAGTTTAAAAATCTTCGTAAATGCTCTAAAAAAGGCAAAAATGTCATTATTTTCGGCCAAATTTTGTGATTTTGCGGCAAAAAATTATTGCGTTTCCAGCTGAAAAACGCTGGAGAAATGCCATTTTCAACTTAATTTGTTGATTTTAGCAAAATCTCGTGAAAACCTGAAATTTTAGTATCGACTAAATTTTCAGATTTTGGTGCTTATTTTTGCCTTAATTTTGCTCAAAAATCAGTTAAATCATGTGAAACATATAAAATAACATCAATGTTAATTCTTCTTAAGGCGAGTTTGGACAAAATAAATGAGCCTTTAGTTCAAAAACGAACTCGAGCAAAACGATCTGAAAATAATATTTTGTAATTTTTGTTAAAGTGAAATTTTTTGGTTTTATTTGAAAAATGTGCAACACTCAAAAATGTCAAAAATAACATGTTTTTGGCCTATTTTGTTTAATTTTTAGCTTGTTATTAACAAAATTTACCTACTAAAGCATTTAAAAAAGGCAAAA